TTTATTTTTTTTCTGAATGCAATGACCTCATGTCTTAATTCTGACTTTTATTTCTTCTATAGTTTGCTTGATGGATGTGATTTGGTTGATTTTGAGGTAGTCATTATAATTTTGATCTGGTTTTATAGGCACAGTCTTTTGGTATGCCTTTTTCGGGACTGCGGTCATGTTATTCTTTTCCCTATCCTTATTCTTCCATAATGTCTTTTTATAGGATTTTACGTTGGCATTTTATTGCTAAAGTTTATGTGAGATTATTTTTGTTCTGAGTTTTACAATAAATTGGAGTTCAGAGAAATGTTATTATAACTTCATGGAGCAGCTTCTTCTTCTTCTTCCTCCTCCTCCTCCTCCTCTTCCTCTTCCTCCCCCCCCTCCTCCTCCTCCTCCTCCTGAGGATTCTCAGCTTTCCCCCTTGCCATCTTTCACTGTAGCCCTTGTCTTTCCTTTGTCTTGTCTACCTTCCCAGAAATTTCTCTTCAATGTGTGACTCTGTCGGAGAAGGAAGCCTGGTGGTCAGTTTGGGGAGTTCACAGGCCTGTACTGCCCTGCCCCATCCTGCCTTTCCAAGGAGGGATCCCACTGTGAAGACACCAGCCCCTCCTCTTACAAGGTCCTTCTCCAGCGCATTTGGTGGGCTGTTTCCTGCCACTGTCAGTGCTGACTCCTTTTCTTCTCCTTCCAAAACAGATATGTACTGCTCTATGGCTCTTGTTGATTATCTCTTAATTTTAGTATTTGTGATTTTTTTACTTCATATGCTTTTCTTTGTTAATTTGGGTTTTGATTTCTAATTGTGTCATATGTTTTGTGAGCTATTTGGAGAATATGAAACTGTTAGAATATTTTATTTCATCCTATGATTGCGGTAGGGTCTTTAAAAGGATTATTCTCCTTCCCCTCCTTTACTATCTTTTTACTTTCTTCCTTTGTCTTTTTATTTTCCTTCCTTCTTTCTTTTTTTTTTTTTTTTAAATTTCTGGACCAGAATATTTATTTTCCCTCATTCCCCAAAGCCCAAGTTCCCCTGAAGCACATAATGTGTTCTCATTCCATTCATGCCATCTTTTTAGTTCCCTGGTCACTTCTCTCACTCATTGAAGATCTTTACCCATATATCTCTGTGCATTATTTACCAATGCTTATTTAATATTCTTTAAAAAATTTACACCCACATAAACCATTCATTTAACACCCTGTCTCTTGGCTGTCTGAACACATTCCTAATTAGCTTTCTATTATCTGCCTCAGTTGAACAGTTCCATGGCCATCTCCCAAGATATCATGAATACCCACATCATTTAGAAAATCTTGATTTACAGTGCACTTAAATCTCTCACCACTTTCTCTTTTTCCCTCTCTTTTTCACATCCCAAAGCCTCTCATCTCACTGAGACCTCTAATTCATAGACTGAGCTGTTTTTTTTTTAACTGTACGTATTCTTAATCAATTTAGTGAATATAACCCATCACTAATCTACTCCTTCAAATATACCATCTGTTCTCCGGTCTCTTTCTCCCATCTTTAATCCCGTGACTAAATCCTAAGTATGGGTAAATTATGATCTCCACCTATTCTGTGACAGATGGGAACAACTGAATATAACTGGGAAAAAAATACAGAAGAGCAGCACTGTGCTCTCTGGATCAAGTTGAAGTCTGCAATGAGACCTGAGGTTAGCCAGACACTTGTATGATACTTCCCTAACTGCTCCCTGTTGGGGATGGGAAGCTTTCCAAATCCTCTTTCCATTTTCGCTTTTATAGAACAGTGTCAATTCTATGCCACTGAAGAAATGGTAGTCTATACATGAAAACCACTTTCTCTTCCCACTACCAAATTTAGCCAGTTCTTTGCATTGAGAGCTCTATTTCCCATTACCAGGGCTTTTCTCTCTTTGTCACTATCCAAGTTTAACTCCTAATTTAAGGATTCCATCTTCTTACAACTAATCAAGAACTGTTTCTATTCTCACTACTTATTTTTTTCTACTTTTGACTGTATGTTTCCTGTCCACTCTCTTTAGCACAAAAACAGAATTTGTGTTTAAAGAGAAAAAGATAAAAAAAAAGTCTTCTCATTCTATCAAACCTGCTTCTTTCCTGTGTTTTAGTTTTTATAGGATATTTAAAATACCCAGAATGAACCTATTCAGTAAGTACGTCCTGTTCCTCACCTCAGTGACACCTGCATTCAGACCTGAGACTATACTGTCTCCTCATTCTAGTATTTGAATAATCAACATTGATCTCTATCTTGCAAGTGCAAATAGCCAGTTCTCAACCTTCATTTGTCTTGGCCTTGCAAGCACTGGACAGAGCCTGCAATACACTATTTTGGCTAGTGTATTGGGTGGAAGTGGAGAGAGATCTGGGAAAGTGCATTTTTTTCCTGCTTATTTCTTATTTTACCAATCACTGATAATAATACTTATTCTTAGTTTTCTTTTTAGTTCATACCTCCCAATATAGTAGATCTCAAGGATTTGACAAAAGTCATTTTCTTTTCTCTATGTTGATACTACCTGAGCTGTGATCCTTATACTGGAATCTCTCCCTGTAACCTTGACAGTGCTCCTTCCTCTTATATTTCTGGTTATGTCTAATTCCTCAAGAGAGAGAAAAAGCTCATATTCTCTTTAAATACTCCTGACTTTCCAAAGAAGGATGGAAACCTACCCTCATTTTTTTTCCAATGGTGGTGTAGTCTCTATTACATAAAAATAAATATTAAGAGATGGATTTTGATATATTTCATATCAAATTTCAAATTCCGTTGAAAGGTAATCACATGGGAGACCCTGATGAAGAATTTTATGACATTTAGGCTCACTGCTGAAAATTGTCATGACCAAAGAGCAGTCTGCCATGGACACAGGGGTACATATACATGCATTTTTCAAAATCATTTTTAGAGGGAATTCCAGATTCAAGGGTATGAGGTAGAAGAAAAAGATAATTTTAGGAGAATAAAGATTGACGTTTTAACAGTCACATTATGTAAAATAAGTACTAGGCTGCATAAGTATACAGAGGCCAGGTAATTAGAGCTCTTAAACCATCCTAAAAAAGAACCGTTATCTTTTAATCTTAGGCAATAAAGTAATATTGAAAGTTGATGAATGGTTTGTGGTATTCTAGGTCATATTTGTTCACTAAAATTGCTGAAACAAAGTGTCACAGATTGAGGGGCTTATCAAAGAGGCATTTATTGTGTCATTTCTGGAGACTAGAAATCCAAGATCAGGATGTTAACGGGGCCACACTGTCTCCTAGTATGTGGCAGTCCCTTAGCTTGTGGCAAAGCAACTCCAATTTTCATGTGATATTTGGCCGGCGGGCATGTCTCTGTGTCTACATTTTACCTTTTCATAAGGACACCCATCTCTACTTCTGTAGAAGTAGTTCAGATCTCATTTGAACTTAACTAACCATATTTACAATGGTCCTATTTCCTGATAAACCTGTGTTCTGAGATAGTTGTGGTGAGGCCTTCAACGTAACTGTTTTTAAGGACACAATTCTACCCATAATACGTATGTCCATCAAAAATCATTTCTGACATCATATTTGAATTCAAATGCCACCTCCCCAAAAAGAACTCTAATGGCCAAAAAGAAAAACTCAATCCAGGGTCCTTAATAGATTTTCTTTTTTTTTTCTACAAGTGGCCTGGTTAAAAGATGGAGCAAGGATTGCCATGTATTGTGCAGCAGCCAGGATTCACTGAGCTCCTAGAAGATCCAAATGATGGGAGTGAAAGAGCCAGAGCCCAACACAGAAATGGAGGCCGCACCTCTTTATTTCTATGGGTGATGTTCAGAAAAGGCTCCGTTTCCTTCTCTGGGTGGCATTCACCAAAGTTAGGCCAAGAGAAGTCAAAGTAATTTAGATTCAATCTTCTCTCAGAAATGAAATGAACAGAAGTTTTATTAAAAGGAAATGAAGAGGAAATTGAACTTTCATATTTCATTGTGCAATTGCGATGACAAAAAACAATATTCGTGAACAGAAGTTTGAAAGATTGTTATTTATGTGTCTTTTCACCCCCCCCCCTTGAATTCACCTACACTCAACTTGCTCTTGTCAAAATAAGGAGGAGGCATTTATCTCCCTTAAGAGCTGAGCCGTGGTAAAGGCATGGCTGGTCTAAGCTAATGTGCTTACTGTTCTGTTTTAAAATTTTATGTTACATTTTCCTTACAGAACAAATTTACTGAAAGTTCTTAATTATGAAAGCTGGAATAATGACTCTGATTTATTTTCATATAGCTTTTAGCCACCATAAAAGCAAAAGTGTTTTTGACCTTTTAATCTCTTCTCCGGAAGTGTATATTACAACGTGGCCATAGTAAACAAATAATAAAGGGATCAAATGTTGCTTTAACCAAGTTTCCTACTGGGAAATCGGAACATTTTTAGGATGACGTTTCTATTTATTTGGTCTATTCTGTATGTGGACATTCTGTATATGACGGAATTAAGGTTATTGCTATTCAATTATTTAAGGAAGCCAATATAGGCACTATCATTTTCTCTTCCAGGAGCAGTGGGATCCTTAAATTAAGGAATCTTTGACATAGTCTTGAGGGATTACTTCATATAGGGATTTATGAATGGGGATGTTGAAAATGGCTGAAGGCATATTTATAAATAGATTTTAGAGGCTGGGCACAGTGGCACACATCTGTAATCCCAGTGATTTAGGAGGCTGAGGCAGAGGATCACAAGTTTGAGGCTAGTCTCAGCAACTTAGTGAGTCCCTATTTTAAAAACAAACCAAAAAAGAAAAAGAAAAAGAGAATATCGTCATTGGAAACTGCTTTCTGTACAGAACTAAAATTCAGCTCTTCACGGCATTGATCATATCCAGAGATCCCTTCACACTACCGAGATGGTGGTATAAGATGGTGAGTAGAAGGGGTTACATCATCAGGCCAAGACCCAGTGAAAACCCCAGCCACAATGCTCAAGAAATCATTATTCCTCACTCATCCTACCTGTCCCACATACATGAGCAGGAGGCTGTGCTCCACCGCAGTCCTTCATGGATCCAGTCTTTCAGAGGTTTCTCTCTTTTATACTGCAACCTGTAAGAGAGATACTACATATTTATGTATGATGTTTTGCTGTCACATTTCCCAATGACACACAGTAGTTCTGATCATATTGATGGGACAGAGTTAGACACATACAACTAATGAACTTCAAGAAGCTTAGAATCAGGGTTATGCTTAGTGGGTAGTAATGCTGTTCAGTTTTTCTTATGATTGACTAAGGGCCACCTTCCATGGCCCTCCAGATCTACACCTGGAGCCTTTGAGCTCTAGTGTTGCTGGTGTCTGAAATTTTCTCTAACTGGTCAGCAAAACCAAGAAAGGGAAAGTGGACATTCCATTAAACTTGGACAACCATGACAGGTGAGGTTAGAGGAAAAACAGGGACAAGCCTATAGTCTGTAATTATTACAACTTGGGAAGGACATTCGGGAGTCAGATCATTGCCTTTCCACTTTTAACCTTAAGTTTATTACATCTGTCTTTTCTATTGTAGTAATCCAACCCTAGGTTCCATATCTCTAATAAGAGAATCAGGACACCGAGGCAGAAGATTACACCCTTAAAGGAGAGGATAAAAGAACGAATATTTATTTTAGAGAACTGACAGGTGACACTGGTGGCCTTGTCACTACTTAAGGGAAGTATTTCTGATAAGGGTGCTGCCTCAGGAGTGACTCTTAAAGTTCAAGGAGGAGTTAGAAAAAAGGAATGGATTTGCATTAAAGAAGAAGAGATTGAGGTCTGAAGTGGAGGAGTTTCTGCCCTTGATTATGATAAATGTGGAAAGGGGTGAAGGGGGGCTATCTACATTCTGGGTGAGAAGAGGTCTTGAAGTTGGGAGCTGAATGTGTCCTTAAACATCATATAATTCATCTCTTTAGTTTTATGGCTGGAACTTAAACATCAGAAGAATATATGTAAAAGAATGTTAATAATTATTCCTGGGAAATAGTATTCTGTAGATAATTAAGTTTAGGAAATGCTACTTAAACAAAGTTAAGAAAATGTTTGCTGCAGGGCTTCATTCACTCTTTAATGTGATAATGTGCACAGTTCTTCTCCAAGAAAGAAGACACAGTAATGAGGATTTGCTCCATATTTGAGTATAGTACTTGAATTTCTTCATTAAAATAATGTCTATGGTAAATGCACATGCAGAAATATTGAAATAAATAGTCATTGTTCCCTGAGAGTTTAAGTATATATATATATATATATATATATATATATATATATATATATACACACACACACACACACACACACTCTTTTTATTTATTTATTTATTTATTTATTTATTTATTTTAGAAAGGAGATGCATCCAGCAACTCCCCTCCTATCTCTCTCAATGTTTAGCAGTTCAAATGTCAGGCCCAGAAATAGTTTTCTCAGAGGTAAACTCACTGCTATCACTTATCAGCTCTTTGCATTCTTGATCTTTTGGTTTTCGTGGGAGTTTTAATCTCCCTGAAAATGCAGTTTACCTAGTCCATTACTGCTTTGCACTTTGAAATTCATACAGTCTGCCCATGTGCTTGTTTGCATGTCAGAATTTTCTTGTTGGCTCCTGCATAATTCAGTGGCTCATCATTTCCGTTTATACAAGGATGACTTGGTATTTAGGTGAAACTAAGCTAATCATACAAATGACCCTCAGAGGACCCCTGCCCTCCAATCCCGTTCTATTTTCTACACTGGGAACCTGTTTCCATCTGCAGCATTGATGGGGTAGAATCTCAGAGATGAAATTTGCCTGCATTTGTTCTGGATGGAGGCTTTCACACCTGTACATTTATCTGATACCTGAATACTATGAGAATTACAAAATAACACATCAGATTTTGGATATGGAGGGAACTCAGGTTCCGCACCATAAAGCACCTTTTTCCAGCATCACTGTTCATTATTGACCAAAACTCGTCGTTGTGGCCCTGACAGAAGACACCAAATGCAGAAAAAGGAATTTGACATTTTTAAGTTTAGAACACATCAGATAAAAGTTCAGAATGAAAATGATATTGTTTCCAGAGGAAGGTTTATTTTCTTTGAAAATGTGAAAACAGTGATGGAAACTGTCTTTCTGACTTGTTCACTTAGTGAGTTCATTCTTGAGTCATGGAAAACATTAAGTTTGGGCCAAAATTAAAATTCAACAAAGGTCAGTTCTTTAGGCTAAGAAACAGAAATCAGAATATAAGTTTAGCTGAATGAATCTTGCCAAGCTGACCTACAGCCGTTAATAATAATGATTGCCAAGGCAGGACAAGAGGAAACCAGCTCCTGCTAACAAATCAGTAAAATTGTTAAAAAAAAAAAAAAAGTGAGGGAAGCATTAGGGGCAAGGGAAAATGAAAAGCCTTTGTTAACATCATTAAATATCTTTCTTGCGGGGATCATTGCTAGAGTAATTGTCCGTAGTACTTTCATTTTTATTAAAGGAAAGTTTTTATTCATGGTAAGTTAGATTATACTAATGGCATTAGGGACTTTCAAATATATTTCAATAACACTTTTTCCAGGAAAGATTTTTGGAACCCATTTGCAGAACTGAGTCCTTTGTATTTGCGGAATAGAACCTTTTGTATCTCTCGAAAATTTCATAATCTGGCTGAAATGTGAATGTCAACATATCTTACTAAGGTCTACTTGGACCTGATAACTTTAAATCACTAAATAATTTTATATATTATTAGTGTAATGGATTCAATATGTTGGATTTTATTTTGATTTTGGTTTGGATTTGAAACTTGGTGATGTAAAAGGGAGATAAGTGTGAGCAGGTGGGTCATGCATCTGTGGTCTCATGCCAAATAAGTTTAATCCAGGTTGATGTTTTTATGTAAACATAAGTTTTACTTAAATTATGTACACATATTGAGATATGGTAATGGGCTAACAAACTGGTTATATGTTAAAGGACATATTTTTACTAAAAATTGGACTCTACTGAAGAATATTAAAAATGATGATGCCAAGGAGTAAGTATACCTTTAAAATTCTGATCCTTTAATGTTTCTATGAAGTGAGCATACTTAGATCCTTCCAGAGGTTGAACAAATGGAGCTGTATTCACACTTCCTTGAGAATTCATAAGCATCCACTAAGACTTTTAAATCTGTATCACAAGTAAGCATTCCCATCTCATGAATGGGACAAGAACAAATAGCAGACATAGCAAGGTAGGCAACAGGTTCCCATTTAGGTGGAAAATGGAGATACTGCTCTCTGTAGTATTTGGTGATGATACAGGTGAGTTCTTATATTTGGCAAAGTTGTACTTTTTAAATGTTTTTGTGTACGTCCTAGGCACATAACCATTTTAGTACTGGATTAAGCTTCAATTCACTAAAGAAATGTTGAAAAGATATTGAAAGCAAATGGCCACACAGAGCTGAAGCCAGCACAGCAGAGCTACGTGCCTGTCCCTCAGAGTCCCTAAGGGAATCATTTAGTGCTGACAATCCTGTTGCAATCAAGACAGGATACAAAGAAGCCCAACTGACTGCAGCTCCAGAGACTCTCACTGTTTTCTTTTACTAATCATTCAGGATATGGTCAAGAAGCCATGCTCTTCTGCATTCTTGATGGAAGCATCGGGTCAGCCTCACCCCAGGGACAACCTAGAGTTAGTGTCCACATGTTCTGGAAAATTTCCTCTACTGCTCTGAGGACCCTGCAACCCCATAGCCCTGCAAGAAAAGCCATTGTTAGCTCCATGGGTATTTCTCTAATCCCACTAGGAGATGAATTACTTGACACGTGCTAGCTTAATTTGCTCTTTTTGACTGTTCTGTGTCTGGTACTTGGAGAACAGCCTGACATAGCAGAAATTCAGTTAATAACAACTAAATGAACAAACATAGCTGTGGCTACACCCAAACACCTTTTTGCTAGGAAGCTTGGATTTCAGCATTAACACCAGAAGAGGAAACAGTGCTCCATGACAGAAGGTTTGCAGGTACAATAGGGTACTATCTCCAAAAAATACACCTACCCTAGTTTGTACCCAGGCTGCTCTGATTCTTTATAGCCTTCCTCTATACCACTGAATCATTTTCAGTAGTAGTCAACAGTGACATGATAATGATATCAGCTTGTTAAAAAAAATGCAAGCAATGAAAATTTCTTTCATTAAACTTGGTATATGATCATTTAAAAATAAATTTAATAGTGCATAAAATGGAAAAGGTAATAGACTGATAGGTTTAATTACATTGATGTATTTTTTAATAAAAGGAGTGAAAATTCAAAGAAATACTTATCTAGTAAGAACTCTATGAAGTTTGGAGAAAGATTTTCATGCACAATATGAAAGTGAATTAACATAAGTTTTGTATCTGATTTTAAAAATACTATACTATCCTTAATTTTTCACTTACTGTTTGCACTCAAAAATCTGAAGTACCATGGAACTAGAAAAGCAACTATACTGACAGCAAAAATGATTCTGAACCTCTGAGTTCACTCACTAAACAAAAGCTGAGTGTAACTGGGTTCTCCAACCTAAGTTTTATGGAGCATATGGCATTTATTGGAAGATAAGGAATAAAAGTATCCTAATGTAAGTGTATACCAAATAATTAAAACTTGATAGTAATTGCAGCAATTGTTTAGAACTTAGACAAACAAAATATTTTTATAGAAAAAATATTTTTATAATTGCTCTTGATTGGAATTACAAGTACTCGGTGATAATAAAAAGCACACTAATTTGTAATTATTTTTATGTTATTTTAAATTGTCTATAGACAGCACACACATCATCAGGGCCCAGTGCATCATCCTTGCTATGCTACTGACTAGCTCTCCCAAATCTTGAAATAATAAAACAAAATGGAAGAGAAAACATAATAGTAGTTAATACAGAAATATAACCTCTAGTAATTACATTGCTGTTATGGCTGGGATTTTTTTTCCTTTTATTTATTTATTTTTAAAAGGAGTAACTAAGCAATTAGATAAAAATTAGCTGGAATAAAAAGCAGAATGCGTAGAATTAAAATGTTCTAAAGGTCTTTTCACATTTGAAA